TATACGAAATTTCTTAGTAACATTTCTTAAAGATAACATAAATAAATAGTTGTCTTAAATTGAGGAAAGGCTATAATTGCCATTTCCACATGGAGTTGTTCAAAAAACACTTTTTTTAAATATAAATTAACCTTGAAGTTCTTAAATGCTGAGAACTAAAAAAACGCAAAGGAACAAAAACATATACATAATTTCTATACGCAATTTTTTAGTAACATTTCTTAAAGATAACAAATAAATAGTTGTCTTAAATTGAGGAAAGGCTATAATTGCCATTTTCCATGTGGTTAATATAAATTAACCTTGAAGTTCTTAAATGATGAGAATTAAAAAAAAATATGTATGAATGTTAAAAAGAGTCCACATTCCATTAGATTCATCGTCCCTTTTTGAATATATATGTATAGTTTCATACAAATTAAACATGTTTTGGTGCTTAGGAAATCTTACCTTGAAAAACTGCTTTTGAAAAAAATGTGCTCCACGGCAAGTTTATTAAGCTATAGTGGTCTTCAGACATAATATATAAATAAAGTCATATTAAACATAGTGCTTTTTATATATGGTTGGAAAGAAGTTGAGTCAAACTAATTAATGCAAAAACTTCAAGATTCTTGCTTTAATATAAAAAAAGATGCCAAAGAATGTAAAGTTTATAAAAATTACATGTTTTTTGTCAAAAATCAAATTCCGTTGCGCTCTGGGATTGCTTATTGAGTTGTATTTTATAATTTTTTAAATAGGCCACTAAACACTTTTTTCTTTGTCTTTTTACTTAATAATGCCAATGCAATTTCATTTCTACGCTGCTGAGTAAACGAAGTTGCATTGTAAAATACTTTTATGGTAAATTTTCAGCCAATTGCATCATGATTAAAAGAAAAATTTTTTAAACTTGCTTATGCTAATAAACGAAACTCTTTAAATATATAGCAGAAAGTTTATAGTTTAAAAAATTTAAGTGTAATACAGGTTAACATATAATTATAAAATATCTAAACATATATAAATACAATCAAATAAAAATACTTGAATAAATTAAAACAAAGTTAAAATTTAATTTTAAAATATATAATACAAAAATCTACTTTTAAAAGAACCATGAAAAGAATACAAACAATACAAGAATGTTTGATCTATGTATTCCAGCCTTTTTAAAAATAAAATGTAAAATTCTGTCAATAAAAATTATTCACCGATAGAATAAATTAATGCATAAATTTATTAACTTATCAATTTTTTCTAACACTTACATTTAAAACACTATCCTTTCTATATCTAACTTTCTTTTGTTGTTTTGTTTATAGCACAACTAAAAAAATAATTTGAAAGTTTTAGCGATACACGCGGTCCGAAGACTGGAAAGTACGCTCAAGTCCGGAGACTGGGGATGTCCGTTTGGTCCGAGGTCTGGTACGTATAGTCCGAATCAGAAGTTAAAAATACAGAGTAGTAAGAAACATTTAAGGATTAGAGATTAACTAAACAGACTTGGAATTAAACAAAAAATCAAATAAGTGTACAATAAAGCCTATTTAAAGTTACTTTTTTTTTTAACCATGCAAGCAAATTATTTAAATCATGTTTAATTGGATGCACGGAGTATTTTAAAATACCAACCAATTGTCTTATGTTTCCCACCTCACGGAGAAAAACGAGGCATCATATCGTCACCTCAGTATTATGTTGTTCTAGCTACAAATGTAATAAATAAACTGTTCTATCTAATATGTAAAATTAATGCAAAAAAAAAAAACTATATATAAATAAATACAATACTCTATGTATTATAATACAATATCAGGTAGAACATTGTGTGTATATTTATATATATACAGGGCCGGCGCGAGTGTCACGTGGGGGGGGGGTGCCATTATCACTTTTGCCAACTAAAAAAAAAAAAGGTCCTCGTTTTTGAAAATTTGCCGACTAACTGTTTAAACTACCGACTACCCTATATCAAAAGGGTCAACATTTGCCGACTAACTAGTCGAAAAGGGTCATATTTCCCGACTAATGGTCAAATTTCCCGACTAAAAATCATTGATGGGGGGGGGGGGGGGTAATCATAAAATGGGTGAGGCAATTACTACAAACGATCCTGCTTTGTTGGCTGAAAATATGTCCAAAGTAGTGTTTGTTGAAAATATTTCCAAAGTAGAACGCGATGCAGTTGTTCTTCAGGGGCCTCCTAAAAATCCATTATCTTTTCCAAGAGACTCGAACAAGATTAAGGTTTCTGAATCTTGTTCGAGTTTTGGCAAAAGTTTGGAAAATATTTCTTCAAATCTTTAATAAAAAACAAAACTTCGTTTTAAACTGCACTTTGCAAAGTTTTAAGGATGATTCAAAACGGCATTTACTGAGCATGGAGTTCGATTTATTAGATTTCAAATACCTTTTTTGAAAATAATTTAAAGGTTTAAACTAAATCACTTAAAAATAAATTAAATCCTTAACACTTTCTTTAGCTTTTTTTAAAATGGTTTCAAACCATTAGTATAAAAGATAACGAAAATAAAATTGTCTTTTTCGTTCATATTTTTGATGATATTAAATAATCAGCCAAAATACTTATGTTTACATATATTGCTTTTTTTTTTAATTAAACAAGTATATTAGCTTTAGCTTAAAAAGTAAATCTTCTTTGCTGAAGCATAGATCAAACTATTTATTTATTTATTTTTGCGGTTATTAAGGTGGTCCTAGAAGTCCTAATGGTCTTATCATAAAGCACCGTGGAAAAGTATTTAACTAGGACGTTCACGCCTCTTTCCTTACCAATGTTGCTGATTGCACTGAAGCCGGCGTCAAACCTCTTAGTTTTGAGCCTGAACTCTAATAATTGCATCAGAATTGCACTTAATAACCACCTATACAAATTATTTTACAAGTTGTATACAAATAAAAGAATATCATCTTGCATAAGATTTTAAAATATAATCATGGTTTACTCGCAGTTCACATAAAAAAAAACTGTTTATAGCTAAACAAAACTTCACGGTACGATAACACCTAAAGTATTGGACACATTTCTTGGTAAAGAAATGTGTCCAATACTTTAAACGTTTCCCAAGAACTCCTTATGGTTTTATCACAAAGTACCTTGAAAGAGTATTTGACAGAAAGTTCATGCCTCCTTTCGTACCGAGGATATAAAACTTGCCCAGAGGTGGCGTTGAACCACGGATTTCTAGCTTTTCAGGCAAGCGCGCTAACCACTACTCTAACTTCGGATTGTTTTATCTTCTAATTTCAGATTATTTTTATTCCAGTTTCTACAATTTGCCTTTCGTTTGTAACTTCTAACCATTATAAATTACTGTAAAATTTTTACTTAAAAAAAGTTTTTTGATGTTTTCAATGTGTTGCAACAAGTAAGAGAAATGTTTATTCTAGCTTCTAACTTTCTAAAAAGCTAAATAATGGGTGGCATCTTTTCCACAATGATCATTTTAAATTTCAAGCTTTATGTTTAAAAACAGGAAGTTTATAATTTAAAATTTAAAATATTTTTCTATTTGCGGAATGAATAATAAAGAAATTGTTTTTCCAAAAATAATTTGCACATAACTTGAACTTTTAAGTATTTATCAAGACTAAGACTTGCATCAATCATGTCTTCTGTAAGAAACAAGTTGAATACTATAACTTTTACTAAGTTTCTTCACTTTAGTAAACATTTGAACTTTTGCTCAAATGTTTAGCGATTGCTAACATGAGAATAGTGCGTGATTAAAAAAGCTACAGTCAAAAGACAGTTAAGACTAAAGACGTCAAAGAGACAGTTTTTGAAACTGTTTCAAAAACTGTCTTTTTGACGCTTCAAAATATTTTGACAAAGGCTTCTCAGTGGATAGTTTTCCCACATACGGAAGAACAAATTTAAGAGCAAAACTGGCATGGGCAAACGAAAGAGGCTATCCATGTACAATAGTAGCTATTGATTGCACCCATGTAAGAATTGATAAACCCTATGGAAAATTTTCTGAAAAGCTCAATAACAGAAAAGTGTTTGATTCAATCAACAGTAACGGTGGTGTAATAATTTTATAGGTAAGATTTAAGCCAGAAATGGTTGCTACATGTATCACTGTATGCTTTATACTGCAAAATAGTGCAAAAACCTTAAACGATTTTCGAGGATGAAGATGTCGAAGAAATCGTTCCTGTAATTGAAAAAGGAAACGAACAGCAACTTCTTTTACTTGGTCAGCAGCGTAGAAATGAAATTGCATTGCCAATATTAAGTAAAAAGACAATGTCTTTTTGTTTGTAACAAATTGAAAACAACATAATTTTTAATTTATTGTATTGTTTATGTTATAAAAAATATACTTTCAAAGTTTTCTAAGATAAATAACTAATTTATCTTAGAAAATTTAGAGAATTTTTAAGATGTGCTAACATAATATTATCAAGTTTTATTTACAGTAAAATATACAGAAGTTTCTCAAGTTTCAGTTATATTTATGTTTATGACTTGATATCTTATTTGATAATACTTATATGTAGTAAATCTTCATTATTAGGATATTGTTAAAATATGCATTATTTGATAATATATTTATATTATGCTATAAATTTTAGAAATATTTATAAACAAATTATAACTGACATTAAAGAAATAAAATGAAACATAAAAACTAACTGGAAACAAAACATAAAGAAGTGACATTTGAGTTCGCACAGCTAGGGATGACTCACATAAAATAGTGCCAAATACTTTAATCTTTTTAATGTCATGGCAAGAGTCTCTGAATGCCTTATGTAAATTTATTAGGTAACCAAGTGCTCTGAGATTTCCATAGCTTGACACTTTCTTTCAGCTTGGCATGAGAATAGATGATATGGAGTAATAATCTATACATTGAAAACTTGATTGAATAGATTGAAAACTTAAGATCACTTTTTTCTTGAATAGAAAAATGTTGTTATTTATTATGACTTATTCTCTGGGTCATTTCCTTTGATTTGAATTAGTCAAACTCTATTTTGATGCAAAAGTTTGATTGTTTCACCAGGTGAAACATTTTTGGTAAAGTTCATTTCAATGCATTCTGTTTAGATATATGTCTTTATATATATCTTCTGTTGCATATTGCTTATTGCTTCAGATTTTTTTAGTACTTTAATACTGAAATTTTCTTAATACTTAATTTGGTTGCATAGATAAGTTGAGTCTCTACCAGGTAGACATGTGCTAGGTAGACATGTACATGTACCAGATAGGCATGTTGCACAAAGTTTGCTGCAACTCACACAAAATTCACAAGTTTTAAACTGTTTTATTTTGAGGAGTTTTTTACTCTGATTTTTTAAATTAGTATTATATTATTATTAGTATTATATTATCTCAATTATTGATATATACTGGTATTTATTGACATTCTTTATAACTGACATTTGACATTTATATTTTGATAAATATTTTTTAATAAAATAAAACTCATTTTAAAAAAATGCATTAAATCATAAATGGTTGTGTCAGTGTCAGGTCAGGAGTATGGTCTTCATGATCATCCTGCTACTGGTAACATGTAATCCAGTGCAACCTGTTCCATGTTCTGCTGCCTTGCAGGATTTGCTTTCTAAGCAAAGGCTGGAAGGAGTGTTCTTCCTGTCATCAGTACTATCTTATATCAGTCATGCCTATATTATTATTATTTTTTTTTCATATAGTTGGAGGTGCCTTAGTTACTGTATTAGCTCACCTGTAATCTACGTTATATATATATATATATATATATATATATATATATATATATATATATATATATATATATATATATATATTTGTGTTCTGTCTGAACCTCTGGCGCGGTGTTCGCTCACCCGTAAGTTACTTTATGTAATTTATGTATGTCTGTGCTCTGTCTGAACCTCTGGCGCGGTGTTCGCTCACCCGTAAGTTACTTTATGTTTTTTTATGTATGTTTGTGTTCTGTCTGAACCTCTGGCGCGGTGTTGACTCTCCCGTAAGTTGATTTATGTTTGTTTGTGTTCTGTTAATACTCTAATGCAGCGTGAGCTCAGTAACTAACTACTTACTCCAACTACAAAACCTACACTCACCTCAGACTCCTGTATTTTGTTAGATGCAATGTTTTTCCGAATGCACTTCCAAAATATCATGCCTGGTTTTCTCAAAGTACTGTTGCGGGAAGTAACTCGTTTTAACTACTCCAGGTCAGGTCAGGATAATCGAGATTAATCTTGCTACTGGTAACACGTAACCCAGTACCACCTGCCTCAAGCCCTGCTACCTTGCAGAGTGTGCTCTTCTTAGGCAAAGGCTAGGAGAAATAAACTCCGACTAAAAATTCCCCTGCCTTGGGGCTCTTGGTTGAGTAAAGGCTAGAGATGGTGTCTCGATAAAAACAC